TTCCCTTCTAGGATGATGCTGAATATAATTAAAGAATACAGCTCTTAAAAAAAAATTCTCTTGCTCTGGTACCCCCTTTTTTTTTCTTTCTGCATATAAGAATTAGGTATTCTTGGCCACAAATCTAGGATCTTGTCTGCTCCTATTCTAGAAGCGACTTCTGAAATCTGCAAAGTGATTTCTGGAAGTCTGCGGACTTGTTCGCAAGTTACCTGCCCCGGCTTAGAATGTTTTTGGTGGATCTGCTAGACTTTGGAAATTTAGACTCACGGCATAACTTGACGTCTCCCCTTGACTTCACTTAGGTGTCCCAAACGTGACAATCCAAAACAAGGTCCCTCCTGCTTCCAAACTTGTTTCCCACCTGTCTTCCCACCTGAGCTCCAGGATGGTGTGTCCCAGCCAAAATTCGAGGAGCCAGCCTTGAGTCTTCCTTCCCCCTCTTCTCTCATCCATTCCATTTTAAACCTTCGGGAACCAACTCCTAGAATGTTTCTGGAAAACTCTCCTCTGGCTTGCTACTATTCCAAGATCAAACCCAAACCCTTGACCACAGTCCACTAGGTCCTTCGTGACCTGACCCTACCTACCTCCATAAACCCACGTGGTGATGCTCTCCTCTTAGCTTGCCCTCAACATACCATATTTGTTTTCTGTGGCTGCTGTGACAAATCACCACAGTCTTCGTAGCTTAAAACGACACCAATTAATTCTCCTACGGTCCTGGAGGCCAGGAGGCCAGATTCCAAAACGGGCTACAACCAAAGCGGGAGCAGACCTGTGCTCCTTCCAGAGGTTCTCGGGGAAAATCTGTGCCCTGGCTTTTTCCAGCTTCCAGAGCCACACGCCTGGACCCATGGGGCCCTTTCCTCCACCTCCAAAGCCAGGAATCTAGCATCTTACTTCAGTGGTCACACCTTCTTCTGTGTCTAGCCTCCCTCAGCCTCGCTCCTACAAAGACACTCATGGTTGCGATTAGGGCCTAGCTAGCTAATCTAGGACAATCTCCCCAACCCAAGATCCTCATCATAATCACTTAAATTCAGTCCCTTTTGCCACATAAGGCAATATTCACAGGCTCAAGGAATTAGGAGCTAAGTATTTGGGGCCATTATTCAGCCCACTACGCGTACCAAGCCCTTGCCCATGACAGCATCTTCAGGTAACTTGTTCTCTGTGAATAAGCCCCCTCTCATTCATGAGGTCCAGCTTCTCCGTCTCTGACCAGTCTGAAGGACCCCCCCATCCTGAACCTTTACTTCCTTCCTAGCGCTTACTACAGTGGGCTCTATTTTTATATAACTTCCAGTTCACTAGTTTTCTGCCCACCTCTCCTGCCCCCTCAACCCAACTGCCCTGACGACAAGGATCGTGTGTGTTTTGTTCATCCACCGATTGTCCTGACGTATCTGGCTGGTAAATAATCGCCGAATGGGCTTAAGGAAAATGAAATTTTCCGATTTTTCCAATCCAAGACGCCGCCACGCAAATGCAATGCCCTGTTTACGCCTCAGAGAAAGCAGGCCCATCGGTGTCCACTCCCCTCCTGATCTTCTGTATCAGAACAGTGGTCTGGACAGAACCTAACGCCACCAACGGAGAGCCCACGAGCACGCTCACAGACAGGAGCCCACGGAGAGGCCACAGCATTTAGCAAGCCAGGCCCACACAAAACATTTCAAGGAGGCGGATGTCACTTCAGTGAGGAAGCACCTGAGCCCTTGTTCATTAAATGCCGCTGAGGAGGATTTCAACAAGTAGGCTGCTTGCTGAGGAGAGCTGTTCCCGAACCTTCTCCATCCTTTTCCTGGTAAAGACTCCTGGAGCCACTGGGAGAGAATCAAGGGAGGCCCAGGGGCCTCCTCACATTTGCCTTTCAGCCACAAGGGGCACCAGGAGGCGCCAACACAGCTTAAAACTTCACACTGGGTGGGGAGCCTGGGTGGCTCAGTCGGTCAAGCGTCTGACTTCAGCTCAGGTCATGATCTCGCGGTTTGTGAGTTTCAGCCCCACGTTAGGCTCTGTGCTGACAGCTCAGAGCCTGGGGCCTGCTTCGGACTCTGGGTCTCCCTCTGCCCCTCCCCTGCTTGTGCTCTGTCTCTCTCTCTGTTTCTCAAAAATGAATAAATGTAAAAAAAATAAAAATAAATTAAAAAAAAAAACTTCACACTGGGTTAGACCCTTGCAAACCAAAGCCCAAAGGGCTTTGATTGCAAGCCTATTTCTATGAATTGCTTTTGCCCTAAACAATAAATTATCTAGTCAAAACATCATTTTTGCCCCTCCAAGTAGAAAATTGTGCTTTAATATTTGACAACATTCACGAATATCTTTTAAACATTTTGGTCACCATCTATTGAGACCCCCACAGCTTTGAGGACTCAACAGTTCTCCTCCCCTGTGACTATTTACAGCATAAAATTCATGGTCGTGTTTTTTACAAAAACAAACTTGAGAGAATCAAACCAAGTGGTTCATAAATAGTAACCAGTTTGCACAAAAAGTAATGTTTAAGTAATAACACTTGGACCGCACCTGACGGTTTACGGAGGCTTCAACAGTGCATCATTTTGAAAAATCCAGAAAAACATCTGCCTTATAAGGAAAAGTCTTTGATTTCGCTCCTGTAAACTTTTGATCCATAACTCTGTATCACGTAACACTGAGCCATTTCAGGGGTCTGCTGTCACAACTCACAGGCATCAACCAGAGACCTGGTGGGACTATTCAAAATTCTGATTCTAAAAAGCTGCATTTGGGTGGGGCATTGTTTCCAAAGGCTTAACTGAAGAGTAACTGACTTCGCTGAAAAAAAAAAAAAAAAAAAAAAAAAAAATTGTGCGTGTGATATTTGCCGTAGTGTCGTCTTATTTTTTGGAAAATCTAGCCCATCTTAGGGAACGAACGGCTGTCATGTTCCCCTTTCGATCATGTGTTAAGTATCAGGAAGGAGAGCAGGTGAATTGCAGCCTTTCCCACCCTGGGCTTTGGGGGGGGGGGGTGGGGAGGCTAGAAATTATCAAAGCTGAGAACACCTATATTCTGAAACTTTACCCCCAGAGGAAGTGCCACGTGCAGGGATCCAGGATGGGGGGAGGGACCAGATGTGGGGAACTTCTGGATGGGCGACAACCCGTGAGCTAAAACATGGCAGAAAGCTGCTCCCTGAATCCCCCTCCTCACTGTGAGGCAGGTGGGAAGGGGGGCCGCTCCTGTGGGCCCAGGTCTCTACAGCACCAGGCACGCAGTAACCTCCATGGGCCCCACTGACCCACGTCGGATCAGCCAGAGGCGGCAGGGAGCTGCCCCTCCTCTACGTTCCACAGATCGACTCTTGGGAAGAACGGGACGCAAAACAGGCTGCAGAAGAGTTACTCTAAAGGGCACGGTTGCTCCTTCTTCCGCCAGAACAAAGGTGACCTATTGTGCTCGTCCCGGGCAGGACTCGGCTCTGGGTGAATGGACTGCTGCCGGACGGAATCCAGCTTCTGGGATCCAAACCCACGGCCTGTTCGCAAACAAACTGAGATGAACGTTGGCCTCCGGGCTTCAGAGCAAGAGTCTGGTGTCCCTCTGGCTGAGCCCCTCGGTCTCCTCCGGAGAGAAAGTGTTGCCTCGGAGCCTAAAGGGGATAAAGCAAAGAGAGGTCTGGGCGAACGCTGAGCCAGAGCGGTGCTTTTAACCGGAGGCTGCTCCTTTCCAAACCTGCGCCTGATCGGCCTGGCCCCAAGGCCCCGCTGCAGCCCTCCTGTGCTGGTGTTAGCCTCTGTCCACCAGGGCAGCTCGTGAGTCACTGTGTGCGACAAAGCAAGCCTCCGTGACTCTGCAGAGAGAATCCACACCGGACCCAGCCAGCCCTGACTCCCCAAGGCAGGCGATTCTTTTTAAGGCAACAGCAGAACCTGTCAAGAATGCAATGAGCAAGCCCTGATACCCTCCCAAGTTCTGCCAACGAGCGGCAAATAACATCAGAACCCTTAAAATATCAACCTGATGCTGGCCTGCTCCTCCCGGACACAGAATGTGACATTTCCTCTGACCGTGTAAGGGTTTAAAACAAAAACTCACACTCTGCCAGGGGCCTGAGGATCTCACTGCCTGTAGGGATTACACAACCATACAGAAAGGAAAAGCGCTTTATCACAGGACAGATTCCTAGACATCTGTATTTTAAACCTCATCATTGGATATGTATTGGTGCTGCTGCCTTGGTATGATTTTTGAGGGCGTAACCAGTCAGTCTGCGTATGTAAAGCAGGGGCCACAAGTTTGCAGGGGTGAGACAGGGGGCCTGGTTCAAAACAGCAGGCTTGGGGCGGGGGGGGGGGGCCCAGGGGTGCAGTCAGCCTGAGCCCATCTGCCCAGCTGACAGAGAGTGCGATCAGCCCTTCTCTACTCTGCTTACTTCCTGGCATTTTGTGTGGGGGCCCAGAGAGGGAAGCTTTTGGTAGAAAACTTGGAAATATAGATTTTCATGGGGGGATCCACTAGTTTTAAAAGATTGGCTTCAGGGCACCTGGATTGGCTTCAGGGCACCAACTCTTGATTTTGGCTCAAGTTATGATCTCATGGTTCATGAGATCGAGACCTGCATGGGACTGTGCACTGACAGAGCAGAGCCTGCTTGGGATTCTTTCTCTCCCTCTTACTCTGCCCCTCCCCTGCTTGTGCAATAGATAGATAGATAGATAGATAGATAGATAAAGATTGGTTTCTAGACCAGTGCCTGAAACACATATAGTGACATTCACTCATGACGTGTAAAGTCAGGGGAAGCTTTTGTATTTATTATATGAGTTATAAATATGTCCCTGGAAAGAAGGAGGATAAATCTCTGTAGTTGTGATTCGATGCTTTTTATAAAACATGAAGGAATGTGGCTTTTAATTATAAAGGTCTGGAAACACTAGGCAACAGTACCCACCCACCCCACCGCCAATGTAGCCTCCACCCAGAGGCTCTGATATAACATCCTCGACCTGGGAAGGCAGGTGTAAGGCCCCTGAGTTCTTGTGTCTATTTCATTCTTCATCCTCCTACACTATCACCTGTAACTAAGACCTTTCTGAATACCCGGGATTTAAAAATGAATGACTTGGTGCATGCTTGGAGACGTGAAAACATCTTTCCCAGAGAGAAATCAGATCTACTGTAGACAGAATGCCACTGAATGTCAGAGCCAGGAGGAAAAATTACCCAGTTCCCCTCCCTCTGGGCCCCATTTTACAGATTGGACAAGTGAGGCTCAGGGACATAACGAGGCCCACCGAGGGGGCCTTACCAGACTTCCAGGATGGTATCATTCCTTTCCAGGGCCTGCAGAAGGACTTCAGCTCCAAGGTAGGTGATGTGGTTGTTGGACAGCCTGGAGAGGAAGACAGAAAGGTGAGCTTCAAGAATGTTGGTTCTCCTCTCGGGCCTGTCCAATGAAAAGAGGCTTTGGGAGTTGGCCCCCTTGACACGTCCCTCTCTTGTCTGCGATTCCCAATGAGCCTCAGTGCCTAAAGAGAAAGGCACCCCTCTCTCCTCTGTTCACCAGATGTGTTTATCTAAGGAAGCAGCTACTCCCTTCCGAAGGCGATACCGCATGGTGGTTAAGTATGTGCATTTTAGGGGCGCCTGGGTGGCTCAGTTGGTTAGGCGTCCGACTTCAACTCAGGCCACGATCTCACGGTTCGGGAGTTCAAGGCTCGCATCGGGCTCTGTGCTGACAGCTCAGAGCCTGGAGCCTGCTTTGGATTCTGTGCCTCCCTCTCTCTCTGCCCACCCCCCCCCCCCCAGGCGCAAGAATAAATAAGCATTAAAAAAAATTTTTTTTAAGTATGTACATTTCACTTCCTGGGTTCCAATCCAGCTTACACCACTTCCTTTTTAATGTCGGGCAAATCAGTCCCAATTTCCTCATCTGTAAGGCAGACCTAAAAGAGCACCTGCCTCATGAAACATAAGAATGAAAAGAATGGCATATTCTGCGCGGCAGTTGGCACCATACCCAACTGATAGGAAATAATCAACGAACAGTAATATTTTCGTATGGCGGTGGGCAGGGGAGGGGCGTGGAATCGAGAAAATACAAGGTTGGGAATTGAGAGGGGAGAACTCACACCGTCAGGGACAGCAGGGAAAGAGCCACTGCCCCATGCTGCTCTTTTGCTCACAGCCTGGCCTTCGAGGCATCACCACCTGTCTGCCACCTCCACGGAGTAAGGAACATCCGGGAAGCTGACCCTAAGGCAGTGCCAGTGATAACAACGGCCAGTATCTGCTGGGCTCTTACCATGAGCCTGCTCAACACCTCCATCACGCCAGTAATGCTCATGACCCTGAGAGGGGGTCCGCCTAGTACCCCGTTTACACCCAAGGCTACAGGAGCCCAAAGCCAAGGAGAAACGGCGGGTAACGGTGGAACTGGGGTCCAAACCTAGGCTGTCAGGTGCCTGAGCCCACACACGGAACCAGCATTTGGCAGTCACTATGCCCAGAAAAAGAAGGATGCTAGCTTTTTTTAAAAAGATACATAAGAAGCTCGCTTTTTATGGGGAAACAGTGAGGGATGATGCAGATCGGTGGCACTTAACTGTAAGACTCGCCGAGGCAGCGTGGGACAAGCCCCTGCAGCCCCTGGGGTTGGCTGGGGTAAATGCATGACAACGAGGGGGGACAAACGTGCCACAGCCACACCTGGTTAATGCGAAACCAGGTACCGCGCAAAGCCTGGCCTCCCAGCTTAGACAACCCAGGCGTCACCGGGGCCTCCCAGCCCGGTTTCACCCAAGTGACGAGTGGAAGTGTTTCCCCCAAACATTTGGCAACTTGCTCGCCCCTGCAAAGCAACACAAACAAGTGTTGCCAGAGTGGATGGCGGGCTGGCAGCGAAGCACACACTCTCCCGGAGGCAGCCGTCTGCCTGCCTCTGAAGGCGAGCGTTTTCCACGGGCCACATTTGCCAGGGCGGATGCCACCCCGTCCTGTAGCACAAGGAGCCATCTGATGATGCCCGGACGTCCCTCTCCAGTGAGACCTCTGGCACCCCCTGGCAGCGCGGCACCAGCCTTGGAGAGCACCGGCACAAGGTCGTGATGATCCCGAGCTGGGCTCCTGCTCGCATCCACTCTCCCTGTCCACGCAGAGTGGGAGCCTGCCCGCTGAGCCCGCCACCAGTGGTCCCCACCGCCTCCAGCCACCCACCACTGCCGCTGTCCGGCCCTCCAGGTCCTGGATGCTCCGCAGGACCTCCACCACTGCCTGCTCGCTTTCACCCGCCTTCTCCACTGCCATCGGCCTGATCCAGGCCCCCTTCATCTCCCACCTGGAAGACAGCAGGACCTTAATTCCCCCTGACCCGTCTTCCATCTGTTCCACACAGAGCAGCCGGCACGATCTTGTTATGATGTAAATCAGATGTTAGTGTCCTAATTAAACTCCTCCAAAGGTTTCTCATTGCCCCTAGAATAAAGCTCTAAATCCTCCCCATGGCTCTGAGACCTATGTGGCCCCCTCACCCTGCCTCTTCCCCCCTGTACCTTCCCCTACAGTCCAACCACGCTGGCCCTGCCCTCTGTTCTCAAAACAACCAAGCTTGTTTCTGCCACAGGGCCTTTGCACTTGCTGTTTGGTCTTCTTGGAATGCGCATTCCCGAGACCTCAGCACTGCAAAAACAGTAACCTTCCTCATTATCCAGGTTTCAGCTCCAATGCCACCTTCTCAGAGAGGCTCTCCCCAGGCAGCTGCGACCCTGACCTCTCCAGCCACTCCCTGGCACATCTCCTCTTGAATACTCCTTAGAGCCTTTATTATATATAATCTTGTGTATTGGCCTGCTTGTTCATTATATGCCTCTCCCATTAGAATCCAAGAGCTAAGGGGGCTGAGGCCTGCTCTGTTCTTTCCACCGCTCTATCCTCTAGCCTCCAACAGCACTTGGCACAGCAGGTGCTCCAGAAATATTTCTTGCATCGATACATAAGTGGGTGAATGTATGCATGAATGCACAACAACGAAATGAATGAATGCACACATGAATAAATGCAAGCACGCCTGCCTGCATAACCCAAGAGAAACCACTAGCGATGACCGTTAGAACAGGTCTCCCGCCTGAGCCAAAGGTGGCCCGCGAGAGGGATGCTGTCGGCAACCCACCCAAACGCCCTCAGCTTTCACCTCTAACTCTGAGGGCTGCCTGCTGGGAAGACCTCCCCTCTCTGCCTGAGGCCTTTCTCCTGACCCCAGGAGCGTCCTGGCGCAGGGCAAGCCGGAAGTGCCGGAAAATTAATATCCCCACAAGCACGCAAATGAAGGATAGGCAGTTGGCAGATAAATACCCCTGCTGCCTCGCTTCTCTGTTGGGTAGGGGCTCCTGGAGCCCCACAGCAAGTCTGAGGCGGTTGCCCTCGGGGATAACCAGGGCCAAAACAGGCTTGGTGACCCCTTGCCGTGGGTTCCCTTCCCTCCCCTGCTTCATTTCCCTGACCCCTCACCAGGGTTTGCTGGAACCACCTCCCAAGCAAACAACTTGCCCTGGGATCCCTGTCTGTGTTTGGGGGAACCCTGACTCTACCAGCCGTTTTCTGCCAGGCTACCTTTGCATGAGTGAGAGAGGCGGGAAGCTGCCCATATCCACCCCTTGTCCCCCCTCTCCCCCGCCGCTGCCCCCTATAAGGCCTGTCATTGTCATCCCGGCTCCTTACAGGTTCCTTACTTTAGGACTTTCAAACTTGAATTCCTCTGAAGTCCTTTGGCAAGAGAACACACACCTTCATCCTGGAGATGGTTCTCCTCCAGGCTGGCAAGAAAAAGAGAGAAAATCCCGTTCATATGGTAACATTTGTTGCGGAAGATGATGTCGATAAGGATTAGCCTGCTTGCCCCCCAGTTAGAAAATCCAACATCTGAAAATCTATATTTAGCAGATGAAGTAAGAAGACATATAGTAGGAGTATGAGGGTTTTCAACTCCAGGGACGTCTCTGGGAGAGAATGCACCCCAGGGCTCCTCTATATAAAAGGTACCCTCACGTCCCAGTGATCTAATATCCTTTTCCCTTTCTTATTAATGGAAGCCTCCTTCGGTTTGGGCAACTATGTGCATGCACTTGGTGAAAAAAACTACCTTTTGACTCTCCACTACAGCCAGTGACACCCGCACGGCCATGAACACATAAGGGGAGGTTGACAGATGGGGCTCCGGGAAATTGTCTTTAAAATGGAGAGCTTGGGGCACCTGGGTGACTCAGTCGGTGAAGCATCCGACTCTTGGTTTCAGCTCGGGTCATGATCTCACGGTTCTTGGGTTTGAGCCCTGCGTCGTCGGGCTGTGTGCTGACAGTGCGAAGCCTGCTTGGGATTCTCTCTCTCCTGCTCTCCCCGCCCCTCCCCTGCTTGTGTTCTCTCTCTCTCAAAATAAACTTTAAAAATAAAAACAACAACAAAAGTAAAAATAAAATAAAAGGGAGAGCTGGCCTGGGCCTCCTGCCCTTCCTGGATACACAGACTGAATCTGGGGACACGGAAGCAGTGTCGCAGGTATAGCAGCCATCTGCTGACCGTGAGGCAACCAACCATGGCTTCAGGCGAAGCCACCGACTGAGGACCCCTGCTGGCCTCATGGAGCCATTACACCAGCCCTACGCCACCTACCTCCAGACGGGTTGGTCACGAAGTAAAGAAATCCTTTACTGGTTTGAGCCACTGTACCTAGAGTTCTTCCCTCACTTGCAGCCTAGTGTAGTCATAACTGATACACTCAACGGCGAGGCATGCCTCTAACAAGAATTTCCAAGTGGCAAAGTCCAATCAGGATATAATCAATGGGACACCGGCAGAGCTATCCCACCACAATATCCACTTTGTGACGGTGATCATGGGTTTCAAAGGCCTTCCGCTTCCTGGAGAAATCGGCATATTTATCTCCCTGATAGAATTGGGAACTGCCCAGAACACGTCATAAGAAGTCCAAGCTAGTGGCATCTAAAGGACGGGAGGCTTAGAATCAGCTTCAGGTCAACAGTGTGAGCACAGTTTATGGCTCACCTTTTAACTTGCCCCAAACCCCACTCCACCTTCCAGGGAGACCTTCACTCTACTTCTCCCGCGTTCTTAGGCACTCAGCCTCCCTTAGAATCCACAAAACGTGGGGTGCCTCGGTGGCTCATTTGGTTAAGCTTCTGACTTTGGCTCAAGGCACGATCTCGAGGTTTGTGAGTTCACGCCCCACGTCGGGCTCTGCACTGCGCACGGCCCGCTCCCGAGCCTCTGTCTCCCTCCCTCTGCCCCTCTCCCGCGCACGCTCTCTCTCTCTCTCTCAAAAATAAACATTTTTTAAAAATAAAATAAAACCTGGGAAAGGAACACCTGTGTTCAAAAAAGACTTTATGCATGTAACAATATACGCTTCACAGTTGGAAGCAGTCAGCCCCTCATTTTCCAGGTAAGAAACCTGGGATTCAGAGCTTATTTAACTTGCCTGAGATCACAGCAGGCCTTGAAGCTCAGCCTGCTTGACTCCAGAGTCTCGGGCCTCAACCATTAGGCCACACGGAGGCAGTATACAAGCCGACAAACCAGGAAATATAATTCCATTAAAAGAATTAGCACCTACGTGCCAGGCTCTATCAGCTTCATGCACCCAGCACATAGAAGGACAAACCCAACAGCCCAACCGCTTGGTTATCCACCTCTGTTTTACCCGCTTCCATGGAGGAGGCCAAGGAATGAATGAGGCCTCCTCAAAGCAGGGAACCCCTCAACTCACCAGAGTTCTTCCAGTGTCACGTTCTTTTCCAACATTAAGGCTAAGGCTTGAGCCCCCACACTGCCAATGTTGTTTCCCACCAGGCTGGACGGAATCAAGGAACAAAAACACATCAGAGCAGGGAGGGACCTCAGAGGTGAGGTAACCCGGGAAGGGCAAAATGCACGAAGCACATAGCCCCACATCCTGGTCTGCTTCGTTCAGACCTTACCAACTGACTACAGTGCTCATTTTCATTAGGCTAAGAAGCAGCCTTAGAACTCTTTCCAACGTGATGTCCTGGGTAGCCATTATTCATGGACTGCAGTTGGTCCTTGAGACAAAATAGATCTGATCCAGGGGCGCCTGGGTGGCTCAGTCATTGGGACATCGGACTTGATTTCGGCTCAGGTCACGATCTCACAGTTCGTGGGTCCGAGCCCTGAGATGGGGGGCTCTGCGCTGTGTAAGCGTGCAGCCTGCTCGGAATTCTCCCTCCCTGCCTCTCGCCCCTTCCCCTGCTCATGCGCACGTGTATGCGCACACACTCTCTCTCTCTCCCAAAATAAACCTCAAAAAAATTTTTTAAATATATCTGATTCAGCCCCAAACCTTCAATTAACAGATAGGGAATCAAGACCCTTAAGGGGAGAAGGAACACCTCCAAAGTCACCCAGAAAGACTCAAGTGTCCTGACTCCAAACCCAAGGGTCTCTTCTTCACATCCCACTGCCTAACACAGGGGGCTAAGAACAAAGTTCAATCAAATGAAGGACCCTCAAAACTGGCCCAGGCCCCTCCCTTCCTCATCCTGGCTCCCTGTGACCATGCAGACCCCAAAGCTTACCTGAGCCACTTCAAGCTCTGGTGATCACCCAAGGCTTCAGCCAAGGCCTGGGCCCCTTCGTCACCCACCTTGTTGCCCCAGAACCTAAAAAGGCCAACAGATTGCATCATTTGGTCAGGGAGTAACTGCTATGTGTTCTAGACATGCGTGAACGGTGTCCTTCCTCTCCATGGTTCTGCCCCTCTGGGACCTTCCAGAAAGATCTCAGGGGGGCTCCTAGGCCCCAGCAAAGTGGATCTGCCTCCACCTTTTGGGAGGGATGGTGAAACTGAATTCATTTTTCAGTCAGACTTACAGAATAGTAGAGGCCCACCCAGCACACGTCCTCAGGGACAAGGAACTCAGTCACTCACTCTCAAAGTCAATTCACAGCGTGGTGACATTTTCCCTGATATTTAGGTCAGATCTGCTTCCTGGTGCCTGCTACCCACAGGTCCTCAACTACCCTCTGGGAGCACCCAAAACAAGTCTCACTCTTCTCCCGCAAGCCAGCTCTCTCTCTTGTTCTTCCCTAATGTCCCCCATTTCCTCACGGTGTCATACTCCTTCACCTCCTGGGTCATCCCCCTCAGACCCACAGAAATTGAGAAACTTCCCTTTTCAAAGGTGGAGCCCAACTCGTTCCTTATGACCTGGCTGTTTTACATATGGGAAGCTAGCCCAGACCTGTCTGTGCACATGTGAGCAAAGCTAGCCGAGCTAGGATGTTCACCACGCTTTCATTCATCCGGTTAATATTTATTGAGCTCTGGCTGTGTGCCAGCACTGCTCTGTGCCCCTGGGGAGAGAGCAAAAAACTACGTCATAGCGAAAAACCTGGAATAACGTGAGGGCGCACCGACACGGGGCCAGTTACATAGATTACAGACATCCAGCCAGTGGAATACCAACCAGCTAGTCTTTTAAAAATGAAGTCGTTGTGGTACAAAAGATACATTGTTAAGCAGGCAAAACACACACACACACACACACACACACACACACAAAACCAAAAACCAATATTCAGAACGGTTTGTGTCATATGATAGTATCTGGTGGGAGTGGGGTGGGGGGTTAGCACAGTGTTTGGTGGGTGCAGACAGGTGCCTTAACAAAGAGGTGTTGAAAGAGAACAGCCGGCATACGCTGGTTGTGACCTCGAGCAGGAGAGAGCTTGGTGGGGCTGGGGCCACCCTTGTACTGGACTCTGTGCTCCTGGTAATGCAGCGTGGAAAAGGTGCTGATCTCTCAAGCAACCCGGTTCCGCCCTTAGCTCCGGCTGAGCTTGTGGGCAGCTTGCCTGCCGAGGAAATGGGTTGGGCCCTAAGGTTAGTGTCTCTTCCTACAGTCTTGGGTTCTCGGACTCCCATTTCTCATCAAATGGATGCCAGCTCACACCAGGTAAGGCAGGACAGCAGCGGGGCTACAGGGGACTGCCCGGTTGCAACCCTGGGGGCGGGGGGGCGGGGGGGTCAGTCACTCAGCCGCCAGAGGAAGCCCCTCCCCCCCACACACATACTCTGGGGACCTGCGGTCTGTGGGACGGCCCTCCCAGCCTGTGCCTGACTCCTCTCCCCTCACTGGAAGGCTCCGCACGACCCTGCAGCCGCAAATGCTCAGAAGGACCCGGCAAAGGCCCCTCCTGTCCTGGGTCCCGTCTCCAGCCTGGCCCACTTACTTATCGTCCCTTGATTCTCACCGCTTGGGTGGGGCCCAGGCAATGGCACTCTTCAGAAGCTCCCAAAGGTGAGAGGCACAGCCCTAGCACCAGTGAGGACCAGAGGGCTTCCTGCCACCCACTCACGGGCATTGCCCACCCCCCACATCCTGAACTTCCTGTTTATTGAGTGAAAGGCAAGTACTGAGGCAGCCAGGGGCCACCCGCTCTCTCCCACTGCCTCTGGGGCCTTCCAGCTAAAAAATTGCACCTGCTAAGTCCCCCAACCCGCCCCCACGGGGGCCCCTCTGCCCCAGAATCCAACCTACCCCAAGAACTGCAAGGAGGCGTTGGCTCTGAGCCCCTCAGCCAGCACCTGGGCTCCCGAGGCAGTGATGTGGTTATTGCCCAGCCTGGAAAAGAAGGCAGGGAGGCTGAAGGAGTGCGGGACGGACGTGGGGGTGTTAGTGCCCAGAAGCACCCGGGGCTGGTGGAGGAAGTGTGTCCCAGACACAGAAACGTGAGAAAAGCTTTGAGGACCTCTCTGCTGGACACGGCAGCCTGACTTCTTCCTGCCTGTCGAGCAGACTCCTCGGGTGCTAGTCTATTCCTGCTTGGCCAACCTTACTCAACCGTGACTCCCGCTAGTTCATTCTCCAGCTGCAAAGGGGAAAAAGTGGGGGGAAACCTGTTTTGCAAAGCAGTGTGACAGGTATGGGCAGGAGGCACTATTGTCAGCTGTCCTAGGAAGTGGTTTCCCCAAGGGAGGGAGGGTGACTCACTGTCACACCTTTTCCTCCTGTCTCAGCCACCAGCTGGTGCCAGACTCCATGCCCCCTGCAGCTTTCCTGGGTCCCTTGTTGCTGCAGGTGGCTTTCACCTGTTCCGCCCGAGCTGCTGGGAAAGGGCAAGGGATTCTGCTGGGGGGTTGGGGGGTTGGAGGAGGGAGGGTTCAGCCGTACCCAGATACCTCAGAGAACTTTGGAGAGGTCCCCAGAACTCTTACTCATGACCCCAGGCTTCCTGGAATTAATAACACACTTTTCCTCTTTTTAGAGAACTTTCACGCCCTTGAAGCCACTCTGGCTGACAACTACCCTGCAGAGCAGGCGCTATTATCCTCTTTGAGAAGGGGCAGGGTGCCCTCCCACACCTCTGACCACAGGCTGCTGTGCCGGGGAAATTCAAGGTCGCTTCCCACAGGCTGCTCCCAGGCAGTGACTGGGAAACACAAGACTCTGCTGGGCAAATCTGGCTGGAGGACTCCCCCACAGCCTTCTGTGCTCTCAGAACTGCCCCAAGGTCTAGAGGCTTCCTCCCAGCCTTCCTTCCTTCCTTCTCCCCGTCTCTCAGGGTCAGACTTGCGCTGTAGTGAGCTGACTCTCCCAGCCTCCCCCAGCCCCCTTCCCTGTTTCCCCTCGGAGGCATTTTCCCCAACAAACAGTTCCGCATCTAATCCCTTCTGGGAGGGCTGAACTACCCTAGGATAAACACGCTGAGAATTTACATGATTACCCACCACCTTTTAGCCGCTAAGCTCCCTCCATAAAGCACTGACCATATCGCGCCAGCTTTCTATGTATCCTAACTCATTTAACCGTTACAACAACCTAGGAGGAAGCTGTAATTATTATCTACATTTCACAGAAGGGGAAACAGAGTCACAGAGACATTGGGCTGACCCAAGGTCACATAGCAAATGAGGATTCAAATCTCAGGGATCCTAGATCCAAACCTCAGTTGGTCTGGCCCCAGAACCCCATGCTCTCTCAACTATTCTGCTATACCAGCCCAAAACCCAGGCTTCAAATTCTGAGCATAGTACCTTCCCACTACCCCACAGCCTTCCCTGGGGGATAGGCCAGCCTCCCACTCTGGCCACAGCCGCTCTCAGCATCCTGAGTCTGGGGGAGCAGGTGGTAGCAACAGAAGAGAGTCCTTTGTGGGGAGCCCGGGCGACCAAATCTTGACTTGGGCTCAGACCATGATCTCGCAGTTCGTGAGTTCAAGCCCCATATCAGGCTCTGTGCTGACAGCGCGTAACCTGCTTGGGATCCTGTCTCCCTCTCTCTCTGCCCCTCCCCTGCTCGCTCTCTTTCTCTCAAAAGGAATTAAATTTTAAAAAGTTAAAACCAAAAGAAGAAGAGAGTCCTTTGTACAGAACAGCGCCACTGGGGCTGGCTTCAGCAGCCCTGCCTGAGACCGGGCCACATGGTTAGTAATTTCAACATGGCGGCTTCGAACCCCAAACCCAGCCCAGCAGGTACGAAGAATGGACAAAAGCGATGGTTTACTTTGTCTTCTTTTACTGCCACATAAATCCAGGAAGCAAGAAGACCCCAGGGAGAAAGAGAAGCCAGGCTGACCCGGGGACCAGCAGGAGAGGTGACTGAATGGTGTCAGATGGGAGAGAGACCCCCACTGAGCCAGGAAGGTCAGGAGCAGCAGAAAGGCAGACATCAAAGACTGAAGCGCAAAGCCGGCACCCACCGAGCTGGGCAAGGACCTTCTGAGAGCTCTTCAGCAACTGGCTGTCACAGCTGTGGTGGCAGGTGACTCCACGTGCCTCCCCCCGCAACACGTGCTCAATGAACACCAGGGAACCCGGTAACCCCAGACAGCTTGTGACACTCTTAGACACAGGGAAGGAAAGGGTCCCAGAAACCGTCTTCAGCCCTGGGGGGTCAAAGGTCAAAGGGCAGGCAGCCCTCAGCAGAGCCAATCCTGGGTTTGCTGGGGAGGTCACAGCATTAGCGAAACCCTGTTCAAAGGAGACACTGCCCCTGATTCAGTCAGCAGATCACGAGCCCGGTAGGGGCCGAACCAGGGCCAGGACCAGACCGAACTGACTCCGCTCTGAAGAAGAAAAGCAATTTCCACAGAATAGGAAAGCCC